GTTCCAGGAGATCTGAAGCCCTCTTCTGGTCCTGGAGACACATGCACATGTGTGGTACACAGTCATACATGCAGCCAAAGCTTCCATGCCTATAAAATAAAATGTTTAAAATGTTAACTTAAAAAAGAAATTTGCTTTAAAACAATTTCATATATATATCATTTTTCTATTATTAAAAATGTAAACAAATTTGCACACTAATGAGATGAAGGTGTTTATTTTTTAAAAAAATATTTATGTATACAATATTCTGTCTGTGTGTATGCCTACAGGCCAGAAGAGGGCACCAGACCTCATTACAGATGGTTGTTAGCCACCATGTGATTGCTAGGAATTGAACTCAGGACCTTTGGAAGAGCAGGCAATGCTCTTAACCTCCGAACCTCCGAGCCATCTCTCCAGCCCAAAGGTGTTTATTTTTGCATAAAGAACTAAATCTCAGTGGGGCACAGCATGCACACCTGTGATCCCAACGCTCAGGAGGCAGAGGCAGGAGGATTGCTGCAAATTCTAGCCCATCCTGGTCTGCAGAGTGAGTTCTAGGTCATCCTGGTCTACATAATGAATTTCAGGCCAGCCAAAGCTATATAGTGAAGCTTTCTCCAAAGACCAAAACCTAATAATACCAACAATAAATCATGGCTGGGTGTCTGGTATTGCAGAATGTAGAACATCTTCAACAGTTTTCAGAGCTGACAGACATTTTGATTTCATAAGCAATGCTGAGATCACCACTTCACAGAAATATATACTGCAAAATGGCGAAAGTATTTTTTTTTTTTTTAGGGACATTTCAAAAAATTCCTAGAAAGTGTTCTAATTTCACCAAAATTTATTTTTTAAAAAAATTTTTTTTCAAGACAGGGTTTCTCTGTAGCTTTGGAACCTGTCCTAGAACTGACTCTGCGGAACAGACTGGCTTCGAACTCAGAAATTCGCCTGCCTCTGCCTCCCAAGTGCTAGTATTAAAGGCATGCACCATCACCGTCTGGCCACCAAAATTCATATAATGATTTTTCATATTTTTGTTTTGTTTTTTTGAGACAGGGTTTCTCTGCATCTTTGGAGCTTATCCTGGAACTACCTCTTGTAGATCAGGCTAGCCTCAAACTCACAGAGATCCTCCTGCCTCTGCCTCCTGAGTGCTGGGATTAAAGGCGTGTGCCACCACCACCCGGCTCTGATTTTTAATTTTTAAGCATTTATTAATGCATAGATTGTATTTGAACATATTCTTTCTAATAAATTTAATCTTTGTTTTTAAATGAAACTCAAGTCAACTCTAAAAGGAATTTTATGTGTGTACATATGTGTAGAAATGTATTTTGTGTGTGTGTGTGTATGTGTGTGTGTGTGTAGAGGCCAGAGGACCACACTGAGGGCCATTAAGCCCTCCTCCTTGATTTTTGACAATCTCTGGCTGACCTTAGTGGTAGACCAAGCTGGTTGGCCAGTGAGTTCAAGGATCTGCCTGTCTCTGCCTCCCTGGTGCCAGATTTACAAACACATCCACTGAACTGGTTGCTTTTCACATGGCTGCTGAGGCTCAACTCAGTCCTCATGTTTGTGTGGGGAGAAGTTTACTAACTGCACCATCCTCCCAGGCCTCACACAGCAACGTTTAAGTCAGACATTCTCAGATGTCCCAGAGACACTTTGTGACACTCACGTGCCAAGAAATGGAGACAGGGAACTGCAAAGTCTTTGTGTTTATGGTTAGGATTCTCTGAAAATGGAACACTTTGTGTTTCCAGAAACAACATGGAGATTCGTAGCATACAATAGTCTCAAATCTCAGCTGAGGTGTTTTGGGCAGCGTTGGCTGGTATGTGGTGTGATGGGTATGAACAGTACAGAGTGTGCTTGCCGGGTTTCAGACCTGAGTCTGCAGCAAAGGTGCCTGAGACAATAACACCTTGGATTCATCGCAGGTTTGATTTATCCATTCATAGACCTTGTCGAATGTTTCATAACTCCACATTCAGTTCCCTCTGTGGGGGTCACAACCCCCAGCTTAAGAAGCTGGGACCCAGTTAAAGGGTGTGTTCCAACCTCTTCATAAAGATACCTTTTCCTCTTTGTAATTGCTAAATAAGAAAACTGCAGTTGTGTGTGTGTGTCTAAATGTGAATGTAGTAGGATGGGTATGTGTGTACATGTAGTTATGTGTGTGTATGTATAGGTCAGAGATCAATTTCTGGAGTCTTTATCTATTGCTCCCACCTTACTTTGATACAGGGTCTCTCTGAACCTGGAGCCCTCAGTGACTGACCACTGAGCTCATGGACCCTCTCCTCAGCACTGGGGTTACAGACACATGACACCATACCCAGCGTTGTATGTGGGTGCTGAGGACCCAAACTCAGGTCCTCATGCTTGTATGCTAGACACCTTACCAACTGACCATGTCTTCAGCCCCAGCAGGGGATGCTTTAGAGAAAATTAACGTCCTATTTCTGAGAACCCCTACTTTCCAGTGTTAGTGTCCCCAGTGAACTTGATCTAAATCTGCTGTCTAAACAAGTTCACCAGGTTGCTCCACAGCTTTATTAGATCCAGAAGGACCTGAGAGACTAGAGAAGCACACTCTGAGCACTTCTGTGAGCATTCTGCTTCCAGAGGATTTCCAAAGCCAGGGAACACTGTCCCGAGTGTTGCTAGTGATGCTAGTCATGCTGTTGTCCCAGAGGAGATGCCACTAGCCAGGGATCTGACCCTGGTGGGCAGCCTCACCAAGGAGTCAGAATCGAGGGAGGCATGGACCATGAACTGAAGCCTCTGACACCATGCTATAAAGTAACAATTCCTTCTTGAAGCTATAAATATTGGGCAAAATGGCATCAAAGCGACTGCCATGGAACCCACTAATCCCATGTTCATGAGCGTGTGCACGTGAGTACAGTGCCTGTGGAGGCAGGAGAGAGCATCCTTTGGACTTTGAGGAACAGGCCTTTGTAAGCCACCTACTATCGATGCACTGTGAAGACAGTGTATGCTCATTAACATCTGAACTATCCCACTAGCCCCATTGAGTTACCTTTTTAAAGAGCAGTTTTAGTTTTAGATTTAGAGAAGTGAATTAAAAGTCTGAATTTTGTCTGTCCCCCTATCCCATTCCCCAAACCACAAATTCTTTTGTTGCTAACATCTGGCCAGTGTAGTGCTTTTTTGTTAAGGCTGAGGCACCAATATCACAGCATCAGAGGTTTTTATTGCATAGTTTTTGAGACGGAGCCTCACTTTGTAATCTCAAACTAGCCTAGAAATCTCTGTGTAGTGCAGGCTGCCTTTGAATGCATGGCAGCCCCCCTGCTTCTGTGTCCCTGGCTGATTGTACATCACTGCTTATACTGTGTATTGTACATTCTTTGGGTTCTGACAAACAAAATGACACCATTTATCATGATGGTGTCATCTGGATAGTCTCACCCTTATAAAAATTCTCCATTCTTCATAAAAATTCTAACTGTTCATTCCTGTTTTTTCTCTGTCAGTTCCCTGCCAACCACTGATCTCTTTGTTTTATTTTGACTTCAAAGTTTCAGTGATCCTCCTGCCTCAGCATCCAGAGTGGTAGGCTTCAGATGTGCACTGCCTGTCATGCTCCACTTTGATCTTTTTGTTGTCTTGATATTTTGTTGTTTCTTGAGTGTCTGTCATATCATGGCATCTTTGAAGCCTTATCAAGTTAGCTTCTTTCTCTTACGTGTCTAGTCTTCCTGTGTCTTTTCATGGCGCTGTAGCTCATTTTTGTTTATCGTTGCATAAAATTCCACTGTCTGTCTGGGTAGTGGTGGCGCAGAGGCAGGCGGAGGCAGAGGCAGGCGGATCTCTGTGATTCAAGGCCAGCCTGGTCTGCAGAGTTTCAGGAAGGTCAGGACTGAAGCTCCACGGTCTGTAGCAGTGTTTATACACATACCTATTGAAGGGCATCTTGGCATTTCCAGGTTTGGTGTTGTCAACTTCTGTGAGAGTTTTCAGTTGACACGAGTTTGCTCTCCAACAGGTAAAAGCCAAGAAGTACAGTCCTTGCGTGGACAGAGAGGTACAGAGTTAAGTGGGTGTGGTGGTGCACACGTGTGATCCCAGCACTTGAGTGGTGGAGTCCACACTAAACTTCAGTTAGTGAGTTCAAGACCATCCTGGGGGCTCCAAAACAAAAACAAAGCAGAACACCTGAGCCATTATAGCCAAGGTAGGGATTGTCCCTGTGACTCTGTGGGAAGAGTGTAGCTGAGGAACACGGTCTTGCAAGTGACGAGAACCTGGCTCTGTATACCCCTTTCCTTGCCTGTCTGCTGTGACTCCAAGCCTCACCCCCATCTGTAGAACAGGGTGATGACTCCCTTGGGAGTACCTGGCAGGGTGAGAGTAGGGGAAGAGAGTGGATGGAGGCACTCCTTCCCCCTGGCTCTCTTGCCTCAGGTCTCAGTCATATCTGTCTGCTCCTCTGCTTCCCAGAAATATTCTTGGCAGGACTTGGGGTGAGTCAGTGCATGAGTGAGGAGTGTGTGTACATACTCCTCACCATGTCCTGGGCCTCAGTGTCTGTTTTGGTGGCTCAGAGTAGACTTCCTGCTGGGATTGGCCAGAGGAGTTAATGTAAATCATGGATAGGGCTCTTTGTACCAGGGGCTGGATACAGGGCAGTTCTCAACAGGTCCAGCCTCGCCCTTCGGGCTTCAGAGTTACAGGTAGGGGATGATGAGGCCCTGTGGGGCCTATGAGCTCCAGGAAAGCACTGGGCGGGAGGGACTGGGGCCTGGTCACTGCTACCCTCCCTGCTCAGTGGCACCTGAGGAGCTTTCCTAATTCAGGATGTGGTTTTCTCCATCATAGACAAATTAGGGTTTCTTGGTTATACTTCTAGTTCCCAAACCCATGCTCGTGTGCCAGGACAGGAGCTGGTGGGAGTGGGAATTGGTCTATAGTTGGTCTCAGAAGTAAGGAGAGGTTCAGAGCTGCCTGTGACCAGAGCTCTGCCCTGCTTCTTCTCTTAGGTGGTACAAGCTATACTCTAAGCCAGGCAAGAAGGAGAAGGAGCGCGGTGAGATCCAGGTGACCATCCAGTTTACACGAAACAACTTGAGTGCCAGCATGTTTGACCTGTCTATGAAGGACAAGCCACGGTCCCCCTTCAGCAAGCTCAAGGACAAGGTGAAGGGCAAAAAGAAGTATGAACTAGAATCTGCCTCAGCTATTCTCCCAAGCAGTGCCCTGGAGGATCCTGATCTGGGCAACCTGGGCAAGATGGGCAAAGCCAAAGGTTTCTTCCTCCGCAACAAGCTACGCAAGTCCTCGCTCACACAGTCCAATACCTCGCTGGGTTCGGACAGCACCCTGTCCTCTACTAGCGGCAGCCTGGTCTACCACGGCCCTGGAGCTGAGCTTCTCACCCGTTCACCAAGTCACAGCAGCTGGCTGTCCACTGAAGGGGGTGAGCATAGGGAGAGGGTGGGCTCTTCCCAGGTGGTGAGGAAGGCCTCGGGCAGAGACACGGGACTCTTTTTTCCAAGTGCTGACATGGTTCCTATTTCTTTTCTAGGCAGGGATTCTACACAGTCCCCCAAGCTGCTCACCCACAAGAGGACATACAGCGATGAGGCCAGCCAGCTACGTGCAGCTCCTCCTCGGGCTCTTCTTGAGCTCCAGGGCCACCTTGATGGTGCCTCCCGCTCCTCCCTTTGTGTCAATGGGAGCCATGTGTACAATGAGGAGCCTCAACCCCCATTACGGCACCGCAGTTCCATCTCAGGCCCCTTTCCAACCTCAACCTCCTTACACAGTGCCCCACCTCGGCCCTCTGAAGAAGGGCCTCGGGCCTCAGATGACTCGTGGGGCAGAGGCAGCCGTGGCACCAGTAGCTCAGAGGCTGTGCCTGGACAGGAGGCGCTGAGCACTCAGGCCAAAGTGTTGGCCCTGGAGGCTGGTTGCTCTGGAGAAGAAGAGGGGGCCCGGCCTTCAGAGGGAAAGCCAGTCCAGGTTGCCACACCCATGGTGGCCTCATCTGAGGCTGTGGCAGAGAAGGAGCGGAAGCCCCGCATGGGCCTCTTCCATCATCACCATCACCACCAGGGGCTGAGCCGGAGTGAGCTGGGGCGCCGCGGCTCAGTTGGAGAGAAAGGGAGTCCTTCTCTGGGAGCCTCCCCGCACCACTCATCCACAGGGGAGGAAAAGGCCAAGAGTAGTTGGTTTGGCTTGAGAGAATCCAAGGAATCAACTCAGAAGCCCAGGTATATATTTAATAAGGCTACTTCTTCTCTGTCTGGAGGAGATTGGGTGTTTTTCCCCGGGGCCTGAGGCTGGGAGGAGCAGGGAGCAGGCTGCCTGAGCTCTAGCTTTGCATGGTTGGGTGAGGTGTCCTGTCTTCCTGAACCAAGGCTCAGAGTGTGCCACCGACACAGGTGAGTTTCAGGGACATAGTGCCGTGAGGGTCCCACGGATCAGTGTGGGCCCAGGCCCCATGCTTGAGTTGGTAGTACACAGGAAGGGAGGGGCATTCATGTGCTTCTTGGTTTCCTAACCCCCATCCCTTGCTTCCTCACCTCAAGGTAAGGAAGCCTTGAGACTGGAGACTGTGCCTTAAGACACCTTACCCTGCCTGAAAGTAGATGATTTCCACCTGTCTCTGGGGTCTTGTCCCCTTGAGGGACAGGAATTAAATAGTTGTGGCTGCATCCTTTCTCTTCACCAGGCTTCCTAGCCTGGAAAGAGATCATAGCAACTCCCTTGAATAAGCCCCCACCAAGGCCTAGTGTTCTTTGACCCCTCTTGGGAGTGCTGGCGACTCTGCTCTGTTGGGAATATGCCCAGCCCTCTCTTTCCCTTTCTTGGTCCTGATCAGAACCTGTGTGTTATTCTGAGGTAGGGCAACTGCTGTATTGTTTGGCAGGGACCTAAGGAGGGTCTTCATGGGCAGGTCAGCAGTCTGTCTCGCTGCCTAGCATTGATGGCAGATCTACCTAGTGTCTTGAGGCCAGTTGTTTCTCTCCTCAGCAAGTCTACCTCTCCCAGTCAGTGGGTCTAGAGAAAGAAGACTGGACCCAGCTTTGACGATGCTGCATCTGTTTCCCATAGAGGGGAGGCTGGACCTTGCAGCTCTAGCTTCACTTCTAGTTTCCTCCCATCTCCATTTTCCTTACCACGTCTCTGACTCCTAACAGCCCCTCAGACTCCAGAAAACTCAAGTCTTTGATTGACAGAAGGTAGAGGGGATTTCTGTCCGGGTCTTGTTACAGACCGGGCTGTCTAAGCACCCTGCCTGCCTGCCTTGGGTCATTTGTAGGTGGCAGCTTCATGCAGACAATGGGCCTGGCATCCAGGTAGGCCTATAGCTGGAGGGCAAGCTGGCCCAGGAGGAGCAGTTGTTGATTGGGATGCTTGCTTAGAGTTCTAGGGTGAAAGTTGAGCGACAAGACAGCTCAAGGCAGCATCGGCAGGTTAGAACCAGAACTGCCATTCAGCTGGAGCATCTCTACTGGAACCTGGAGAGCCAGCCCACAGGCCTTGGGACTTGAAACCCTTGTACCCAGGGGCTACTGTCACAAATAATGAGAGTTTGAGTAAGGGCCGCAGCGCCCTCTAGTGACTCGGTTTGGCACTTGTTCTCCATGGAGAGGCTTGAGGCAGTGTAGAATTCAGTAGTAGTAAGATGATCCTCCTGGTCCTCCTGACATGGCGTGCCTCTGGTGGCATGTGACTGTTGATCCCTACTGATGTGAGGGTGAAAGGTGTCAGAATGGGACTGAGCCTCACCTGGGCCACAGGACCTGCTGAGCCATTAGTGTTGGTCTGTAGCATGGCTGTGCCCTGTGCTTCAGTTAAGATAGGCCACACATGTGAGGTCCTCTTGTGCCAGAGTGCCTTGTTTTTTGTTCCTTTCTCTTACAGCAACCTTTGAACACAGGAAGGGATCAAATACTAATGCAAAAATATATTTAGCTTGGGGGCAAACCTGGTGCAACAGAGAGCTAGGGATGTTAGTAAATGGCATTTAGCAATTCGGTGTTTGCCCAGTCCCTTCCAAGGTATGGTAAACATGTCTGGTGGTCGCAGAAAGAATGGGTCATCTGAGGTGCCCTCTGGCTGGTGTTAGTATATTTTCCTGTCCCATCTGTGGCTGTTTTGTGGCTGTTTCCCAGAATAATTACTCTCTAAGCAGTGATCTGGTTGGAAGATGATGTTAGGATCTCTGCTGTGTCTGCTCATTTGTCCTGATGACAAGAGGATGAGCACACCTCCTGGAAGACAGGAGCTTCCAAAGCTCAGGAGGGACGGTTGGCCAGGGATACAGTGTCTACAGGTCCTATCTCAAAGGCTGTCTTTAATCTTTGAGGATTGGTGGGCAGCCTTCACAGAACCACTTGCTACCTCTGCGACTAGTGTGTGGAACACAGACCACATCCCAAGGAAGCCCCAGCAGTACAGAAACCTGCTTTCTCCAGACATGGTTCCAGGGTGTGACTTCCATGTGACATGCCTGTAATTCCATCTCTCAGGGGCCCTGACAGGAGGATTACTTGAGTTTGAGGCTAACCTAGGGTCCATAGAGAGACACTACCTTTAAAAACTTTAAAGGAGGGTAGGTGGGGAGAGAAGTATTGCATTGAATTGGCGATTGACATCAAGTGGCAGGTTAACCAGTCATCCTTAGTTTCCCGCGGGCCCTGAAGCTTATTTCCGTGGGTTGAAGGGACAGAACTGCTTGGTCTTCTTTCTCCTTCTCTTCCCAATATTTGGCCCTGAGGGAGACAATTCAGCATATGTTGTACCCTTCTTGGGAGGCAGAGGCTGTGCCAGGCTGGCTGGGTAGGCTCCAGGTTACAGGGATGTTCTCAGGGCACAGCCTGCACAGAAGACCACAAACATGCTTCTGCTGCCCTATGCCATGTACACTTGCAAGGCAAGAACGATGCCCCTCAGAATGTGTGCTTGGTTGCTGTAGGGATGGCTAAGCTGTTAAAGGCTAGGCTCACAACCAAAAGAATGTGTGTTTGGTGTGGAGCAGGGAACGTGAAGATGGAGGGGCTCTGAGGGCAAGAACAGGCAGGGTGTTAGCAAGCCCTGTTGGCTCTGGGAAACCTGCTAGGCCTGCTGCCTAGAACCCTGGCCTCAAGGGAGAGCACTTTGCTTATTCCATACCAACCGGTTTGTGTGCATCTCTGGGGAGCCATTGTGGGGAGGAGATTGCTGACAGAGCCCGGGGCTCCTAGTGGTGCTTCTCTGGTGCCTTCTCCCTGAAGTCTGACTGGCAGCAGATTGCCGTGAGCCTGAGGGTGAGTGTGTATGTGGGTTTGTCAGACAGGGTTGGGCTTGCTGCTGTGCAGTGCTGATGGGGTCACTAGGGCTGCCATCATGAGAGGCCTAGAGAGAAGTTGTATCATTCAGAGTTAGAGTGCCCCAGCCCTGTTACTGGGATGCAACTCGGATGCTATGGATGTTCTAAGCCTGACTGTGACCCAAGTGGTCGTTGGTGTGTTGCTTTTCATTCCCCTAACTTCCAGGAGTAGACATGCCTGTGCCTTTGCCCTGGGACCTGCCTGGAATGAAGGGAGAGGAGACATCTGTGGGAGTTGGGACCCCTTTCAGTGTCTTCAGAACAGTGCTGGGAACTGGAGGTGGGACATGGGAACTGTGCCTCCCTTCCCTCTCCATCTCTGTCTAGAGGTGGGGATCAGACTTGAGAATCCACCCTCCAGCATAGTTGTAGCTATTCTAGGGGAGAAATAAGGTCACAGGAATCTTTGAAAGCTGGATTTTTAAAAATCACTTTTTGTTGTTTTGTTTTAAGACAGGGTCTCACTCTGTAGCTCTGGCTGCCCTGGAGCTTGCTATGTAGACCAGCTGGCCTCAGTTCAGAAAAATCCTCCTGCCTTCTTGTGCCTCTGCCTCCCAAATGCTGTTTAAAGGTGTGTGCCACCACACCTAGCCTTTATCTTTTATTTCTTTTTAAAGGCAGGGACTCAATCCATTACAGATCCGTCTTTGAACTTGCTGTGTTTCTTGAGGATGACCTTGGTCTTCTGGTCTTCTTCCCCAGTGCTAGGATTACAGGCTTGGTTAATGCAGTGCTGGGGATGGAAACCAGAGCTTCATGCATGTTGGGCAAGCATGCTGCCAACTGAATTATAGCCCCAGCCTCCTTTAAAATATTTTGGTTTATTAAGACAGGGTGTCATGTAATCCAGGCTGGCTCTGTAGGTGAGGATGACACCATGCTTCTGATCCTTCTGTTTCCACATCCCCAGAGCTGGGGCATGCACCACTGTGTTCAGGTTTGAAGGCTAAATCCTTTGGAGAATCTCACTGTGTCCTCCTGTTGAGTAGGCTGAGCTCCCCCTCCATGCTTGACTTTGGAGCGTCCTCTGCCCCTGGTGGACCTAGACTTTTTCCTGTTGCCTATCAGGCCCTGTATACAACCTGTCTAGTTCCTGGGAAGAATGTGGCAAGCTTCAGATAGCTTGACCTCCTGCCCTCCTGTCATAACCCCCCCCCCCCCCCGTTTTCATGAGCAGAACTGCCTTGGCTCACCACCAGTACTTTCCGAAAAGTTGCTGGTTGAGTGGGAAAGATGAATAGGAGGAGGTTTCCCTGGTTGCTCTCATTTAGGTAGGAGGGGTGAATTCTCTTAATGTGTTCTAGATTCTGTGTCCTGGGGTAAATGAAGGCTCTTAGTTCAGTGTGTACCCCTTTATCTCATTTCCCAAGGCTGGCCCACAAGAGGGGTAAAATGAGGGTACTGTCTCTTGGCAGTAGGTATTCCCAGCAGATGCCATGTGCTCTTTAGCTAGTTTTCTGCCCCTCTCCCCATGAAATGAAATGGGTGAACTCTCTTGGACACCTTGTCATGCCCGATGACAGCCCCATCCTTACCACTTCCTGCAAGAGTTCAGTGGGAATTGTCTATTTCAGTTTGCAATCCCAGGTACCCTGCTTGAGTCTCTTAGTTCTGTCTCTGTCCATGAGTTCTCCCAGCATCCTTCCCTTTGGTGCCTCATAATATTGGGGTTTTCCTTCATTTGGTCCCTGGGTCGTGTGACTGCATATAGTCCCTGTGATGGTGTGGTACCTGGCTTGGAGGTGGGAGTAGGGATGGTACTTGGCAGAGATATTTCCAGTCTCAGCATTAACCAGGAGGCTCATGGTTTTGTCTTCTCCACAGCCTGGACGTGTCTCCTCAGGTAGAATCTGACCCAGCTGCTCCTCCTCACCCCTGCTCCCCCCAGGCTCTGGCCCCCCCTACTCCTGCTCCCGCTGCTGCTCCCATGCTAAGCACTAACCTTTTTGCAGCCACCTCCCCTGCTGCTACCACTGCCGCTGCTGCCACCATTGTCCCTGAAGCCACCCCATCTGGATTCTTGGGGGTCACCAACCCGTTCCTCACCTCCTTGCAGAGCAACCCCTTCTTCGAGGAGCTCAAAGCCGACATAGCACTAAATTCTCCTTCACCTGCTCCCTCTCTCCCCAGTGCCTCGAGGGCCAGCCTGGCCCCCCTGGCCTCCCCTGGGAAAACCCTGCCTGAGTGGGACGACACCTTCAACATCTTTGCTGCTGGCAGGCTGCAGCCAGAGGCCAGGAGTGAGATTCTGGTCCCTGCAGAAATGGGGCTGGAGGAGGATGGGCTGCAAGACCCAGGCCCTGGGACCATGACACTGAAAGCAACAGAGCCCCAGAGAGACCCTGGGGGAGAAAGAGATGGAAGCAGGATATGGCTGGAACCCAGGGTGCCTGTGGACTCGGGACTGGACCAGCCAAGCACAAGTGTGTCTGACCCAGGACCCCTTGGGTCTTCAGGAACTAGCCCATCTTCCAGAGCAGCCCAGTTGCACCTACGAGCCTCAGCCTCAACGCCAGACCGGGAGCTTCCTGCCTCAGAAGTGGGAGCTGGGCAGAGCCCAGCAGATAGCGGGGCATCTCTGTTCAGCTCCCCAGAAGTGCTCAGTGTGTGGGAGAGACTTCCTGGTTCAGATGACATTCCTGGGGGCCAGGATGAGGAGGCTCCCCAAGATGGAGGCCAGCTTTTCCAGGAGCTGAACACAGTGGAGGATTCTTGGCCTTGGGATGTGATCACCATTTCTCCTACAGCTGAGATTGCTTCATCCATCATACAGGGAGAGTCCGATGAGGTGCCTCCTCTCCAGGTGCAGCCTGAATCACCAGCCTCTCTGCACCCCGTGGAGAGTGAGGGGCACCCTGCATTGCAGCTGGAGCCAGAGCCTGAGCAGGGATTAGATGAGGAGCCATGGCCTGGTCCACCACCTCCCAAGCCACCACGCCTCTTCACACCTACAAATTCCCAGGTGGAGGAGGAGGAGGAAGAGGAGGACCAAGAGGAGGAAGAGAATGCTATAGGGGGTTTGGATAGTGGGGGGCCAGGGATAGAAGAAGAAATCACCCCAAGTGCATTGGTTGTTGGTCCTCAAGAGTCCAAGGAGGAGGGGGTAAATCCAGAGTTGGAGGGATTGCACAGCCTGCCCTCTGGGACCCTGGTGGGTGAGCCAGAGCTTGAAGAGCTAGCAGGAGATACTGGTGCTCCTGAATCCGGGGCCAGCCCCATGAGACTCACCAGCTGCCTTGAGGGGCCCATCCTCAGATCCCATAGCTCAACCGGCTCAACTCTGCTGAGTCAGAAGGTCTGGGGGACTTCAGATACAGGTGAGAACCTTAAAACCCAGAGCCAGGAGCTAGCCAAAGAGGGATTTGGGCCTCTCTCAGTCACCCCTCAGCAGGCTGATCTGTGGGCCTCAGAGGAGGAGGAGGAGGAGAAGGAGGATGCCTTGAATCCCTTCTTATGTCAGGAGAGCCAAGATCCCCCCAGTCTCCCATCCATATCACCACCAGGGTCAAGGGAATCCTCTATCCACTCTGGTCCAGAAGAGTTGCCCACACCCCCAGAACCTGCCTTCCCACCTCCCCCTCTCCCACCCTGGGCCAGCCACCGCCATGGGGTGCCAGGCCCTCCATGCCCTCCCCTGCCTGTAGCCTGGCCCTTGACCTCTTCTTCCTCACCTCCCGAGGAGTCAGCTTCACCCCTTGGTCCCCTTGAGCGCTCCCCCACTGGGGGCTCCCCTACGCCATATGGGGAAGACCACGCTGCAGCCACCCCAGCCTCCCCGCTTGTGCTTCTGCCCTTGGAGACACGACCAGCTGAGGAGCTCCAGCCCAGTGGCAGGTGAGCATCCACTCAGAACCTTCCCAGGAGGAAGGTATCCGGGGAGGGGCAGGGGGTCATAGTGACACAGGAGTAGAAGTGTTTTCCAGTCCAGCTTTATCTTTGCCAAGGGCACATGGTAACAGTCGGCTCTATTTGGAGGTAAGTGGTGATGGCTTTGAACCTGTGAGCTTCTGTAGGACTAGTTCTGAAGCTGTTTATTAATAAATAGGACCTTGCACCTTCTGGGTGATCCCACAAACTGGGGGTTTGGAAAATAGCATCTGATAAGGATAGTGGTTGAGGAATGAGGTTCGGGGGAGTCAGAATGCCCTGGCAGGAGATGGGGTGAAAACTGTATGTGCTGCACAGAGATGCCATGGTTGGGGGGTGAGGTTCCACAGGGGATCAATACATTTTTAGGCCTTGAGAATTTTGGCAGGTAGTGGTGGGCCCACAGCAGTTTCCTGTCCAGATGTGGTTAGGAAGCAGAGGGCTGGCAGAGGGTCTAGGACTTGGCCTTTGAGGAGGCTAAAGACACAGACTCAGAAGGAAGGAAGGAAGGGAAGCTTTCCTTAAATGCTTTCCACCCCTTAATCTGTAGGAAAGGCTCTCTGACTGCAGCAGGTGCCTCACTGGCTTGTCTTGTCATTGATTTTTCTGGTCTGGGCTCCCATCCATTTAGGGCAGCTGATTGGACAGCTGTGTGTGTGTGTGGCTGTGGTCTCTATGGCATTAGGCCTTGGGCAGAATGGAGAGGCAAGACCTCACCAGAGGGTAATGGGGGTGATGAGAGCAGTGGTCAGGAGCCTTGGGCTCAAGCCTCAGTGCATGTATCTCGGCAAGGACAGCAGAGTCCAGAGGGGTGCTCTAGGGGCTTGGATGAAGGCGGCAGGAGCATAGCAGCTGGGCCAGGTGACGTGGTGAGCATGGGGGGAGAGGGGAAGGGCTCCTCAGAATCTAGCCCTGGCCTCTGTGAGTCCCCCAGCCTGCTCAGGCAGGTACCTGCTGGCTCATGTTCAGTTGCCCAGGGTTTGCTAAGCATCTATTTTGGGAGCAACAAACTCCCTCCCAGTCTAGGTAGGTGAACAGCTGAGATTTCAGTGAGGGAAGCAGTAGGGCCTGTAGGTGACACCCAAGAAATCAGGTCAGGGAGGGAATTGACCTCCAAGTGATGGATGGGGCTGTGTCCCTCCCCCACCCCCATGTGGGGAGAAGGAGCTGGTGACTATGGTTCCCTCATTTCCTGATGACACTGTCTTCATTTGGTCCAAGTCTTGCACTATAACTTCTATTTATATATACTGCTTATAGGGTTCCTTTTCAGAATTGCTATCATTTCATGTCTATATAGAGCATGGCCTTACCCTGTGGAGTGATGGGTACATAGAAAGTACAAAGAAACATGGAGTGATGTCTCTATTTCTCAGTTGAGTGGGGGATCATGCTGACAGCCAGCACTCTAGCTGCTTCTGGGGGGGATACCTCCCTGCGGTTGAGGGTAACTGTTCAGACTGGTGGCCTTAGAGCCACTTTCTTTCATACCATCTCCAGTGCAGACCCTAAGGTGACGGGACTGCTCTGCCCTGTGTGGGGACTTGATATGCTTTCATATTTGTGAGACTAAACACTAGCCCTGTCCTTAGGAGCAGTGCTATTTCAGGTTGGCGAGCCTGAGTTGGGCAGAGACTAAGTGGCTTTGCTTCCTATTCATTGCCTGAAGGCCTGAAGCCCCTGTAGGGTGAGAGTGGATTTATGAGGTTCCCCCAGGTCAGGTTAGCTGGTTTATGGACTGCTGCTTACAGCTTACATAACTAGGTGCTAAGGCACCCAGGAGAGGATTATTTTAGCTTCAGGGAATCAGTAGGCTGGAAGAGGTTTGAAAGAGTAGTGGGAAGGAAGGGAAGTACCCCCAGGTAGGGAAATATCTTTTTTTTTTTTTTTTTTTTTTTTTTTTTTGGTGTGTGGGGCTGTGCTGATGTTGAGGTGGTTTCACCTAGCGGAGGCTGGCCTTGAACTCCTGATGCTTCTGCTGTGCTATTTGTATAGGTGTGCACCACCATGTCTAGCTAGAAATAGTTTTTGTAAGGGCCAAAAGATCGTCATTGTTTATGGCTGGCAGGGGTGGAGTTGTGGGCCAGGAGGCACAGCAAAGCCCAAGTTGTCTTAAGAGTTTGTGATCTTACCTAGAAAAGAGCCATTAAAGGAATTTTCAGAAGTGGAAAGCCATTAATTATCCTTTAGCAGAATAGGGAGTGGGTGGCTGGAGGGCAGGTGCAGCTAGGAGAAGAGGAAGATAGAGGGCCGCCCAGAGGGCTGCTCTGGAAAAGGCAGGTGTGAGAGAAACTTGGTGCGGCTAGGTGGACCCCACGGATACAGCTGTCCTAGAGGTAACAACTGGGCTGCAGCTGGGGAGATAGGAGGTGTCCAGGAGGAGAGCGAAGCCAGAGAACCAGCAGCTTAGCCTGAGAAGAGGCTGGTAGAATCTCAGAGCGCTGGCTGCAGGTCTTGAATAAGGAGAGAGGTCTGTAGCTGAGCTCTGAGAGGTGGAAGAGGGGACACCACAAGTTCTCTTGGCCTAAGTACTCTCAAGGGAAGTGAGAAGTTAGAAACTAAAGGCAGTCCCCACGCTCTGGGCAGGTCGTGAGAGGAGGAAGGGTCAAGGTCGAGAAGAGATTTGCAGTCCTGTCCTGAGCTTATGGTAAGCCACCATTGGAGGGAGATGATGGCAGGAAGCCCACGTGCTGGTCTCTCCTGCTTTTAGCCTGACATTTTCATACCCACGGGCTCAGCAGCTGGGAAACCAAGAAAGTGTAGACGACGAGGGAAGGGGAATGGCTGTACAGGTACAGGAGTCTGTAGGCCAGTTGTCCGCTCTGGATTGCACACTGAGGTGTGCAGGACACTGTGCCTTGGGGACATCAGCTGTCCAGCAGGCCAGGTGGCTGTGCAGAGACAGTGACTCCACCTCTGTGCTGCCCTTCCCTCCCACAGCTCACCTCCCATTTGTCTTGCAGTCCCCATCCCGTGAAGCCCCTCAGTGCTGCCCCCGTGGAGGCCAGCCCCGACAGGAAACAGACCCGCACCAGCCTGAGCACAGCCCTGAGCAGCGGACTGGAGAAGCTTAAAACTGTCACGTCTGGCAGCATTCAGTCTGTGGTTCCAGCATCTCAGCTTGGCCCAGCTGTGGACACCAAGAAACTGAAGGTAAGGCCCAGCAAGGGGTGAGGAGGCCCCTGAGAGAACAGGTGGTGCGAAGGGCAGAGCAGCTAACCATGCCTCAGTTCTGAAGTGGGGTAGGACACCTCTGACCTTAGACAGGGGCTGCTGCAGAGTCTGGGCTTCTGCAGTGGGGAAACAGGTTTTTTGGGCTAGCTGGTGGAAGGTCTGGGCCTCCTCTTCTTAGTTCCATCTTGTCCGGCTGTAGGACTCTGCTGTGCTGGACCAGTCGGCCAAGTACTATCACCTGACTCATGATGAGCTCATTGGCCTGCTCCTGCAGCGTGAGCGTGAGCTGAGCCAGAGAGACGAGCATGTGCAGGAGCTGGAGAGCTACATTGACCGACTGCTGGTGAGGATCATGGAGACCTCGCCCACATTGCTGCAGATCTCCCCTGCACCCCCCAAGTAACCATTCAGTCCATCCCTGGAGGGTTGGTGAGGACCTGTGTAATGCCCTCCACTGACCTGTCTCACCTGAGTAGGGCACAGCCTGCCCTCATGATCACTCTGCTCCCTTCTCCATCCCACCTCTGCTGGGGTTGCTGGACGGGGCCCTTTTGACCTTCCACGAGAGCCCTGGGTCTTTCCTACCTACCCATTTCACACTTGTAGCTTTGGGTCCCCCCTCAAAGAATTGGAACAAGGATGTCAGCTGTCAAGATGGCCCAGAAGTGAGCTGTGGGTTCTGGGGTGAGCTGTGGTAACTAGGGCAACACTGTTGCCAGCACAGATTTAACCACCTGTGAGGTTGGTCAATTGTTTCTTCTTGGCCCTTCATCTTCCTCCAGCACCTGGAGGGCCTCCTAGCATTTTCTTGGGACTAGGATGGGGACCAAACTGCTTGCTTGTCTGTGCACTATATAGACAACCAGGGCACCTACACCTCAACCTTGTGCCTGTACCCTAAGAGTAGGGAGCCTGTGTATTTTAGTCTTGTCTCTCTCTGTCTGGGGCTGTGTGTGTGGAGCATGTATACAGTGTGGTGGCAGTGGCGGTGGTGGCGGTATTATGTGTCTGTGTTCTTCAGCTGCTCCTTGCCCCTCTTCAGACCCTCCCACTCCATGTCCCAGTGGTAATGGGTGGTGGGCTGGGTACAGGGAGACTGACTCCTCTCTCCTGAGGTTCTCCCTACCTCCCTAACATGAGACCCAGGTTGGCGCTTTGGACTGCTCATGTTTTGGGGATCAGGCTTCCATGTCTGTTGTTACCATTTGTCCAGATGCCAAAACTGTGCTGCTGTGGGGTTAGAACTTTTGGAAACCAATTAAAATGTGCCTTTTGTGGGTGAGGACAAGAGCCTCTGGGTGTAGGCCTCTCTCTGGTTGTGGTGTCCCCGCCCTCCCATTGAGCACATGAAAATGGCTGTTAGGGTCCTGAAAGGGGAATATGGATCAGATTTCTTGCTTCCCTAAGAAGTACCTCAGCTAAGACTCTGGCAAACCTGCTGCCACCCCCTAAGTCTTCCTCCCACCTCCTGCTCCTTCCTTGCCCTCCATTCGGAGCATCGTGGGATAAAAATCGATCATGCATAAGCCTGGGGATACCCTGCAACTTACAGTATCTGACCTTGAGTCCCAGATGTGCTGAACCTGTGGGCTTGTCTGGAAGTAGGAGACTTCCCTCTGCCTCAGGAAACACCTGTGCTTAGGAAACGCCTTGTGGCTCTCCAGCTGTTCTGTAAGCTGCTGTGCAGCCTCCCTGTTGCTCACCAACCCTTTCCATCTCTCCTGGCTTGGCTAAGTGCATTTTGAAGCCAAGTATCTACCCTGTGGTTCAGCTTCTAGTTTGCTTGTGAATACAGCAGGTCTCCTCATGGCATCTGCAGAGGTCCTTGGTGGCTTTGCGTTAGCAAAAAGTATGCGTGAAAGAGGTGGGATGCTGAACAAAGGATGCTTTTGGCCCAGTGGAAAGGCAACGACTCTCTTTAAGGATCATGAGTTCACTCAGAACACCTCGAGAGGATATGCTCTGGATGATGTCAATCTTCTGCCAGCATACAGCAGATGAAATCCCACAATGGGGTCCCCCACAGTATAGTTACCAACTCTAGGTCAACTCAGAAATGGGAAAGTAACCACCAGTTCCAAGACTTTTGACCACTCTGTGTGTGAGGGACGGGGTGTCACTGGTATTGGAGAGTGCCTCTTGAGGAAGCAAACCCCTCTGCTCAGTATTTCTCTGGGCTTTCTATGGTTCCAGCTCTGTCCCTCATCTTTCAATCATCCCTGCTGTTTGGCCTCCCTATGTGGCCGGGGCAGGGGGTGTCTTAGCAGAGGTTCTGAACTGAAGCCAGGGTTTTGCTTGTGTCTGCTCCATACCACACATTGCAGAGTGCAGCTGGCAGACAGTGAGCAGGCACAGTTCTGCTCTGCTGTTTGTCTTCCTAGTTGAAACTCCTGTCTATAAAGAGCTTGTTCTTCATGTTTTGAGCACTTTATGAAGAATAAAGAATCCGTGTACCACAGCTGGCCTGGTGTGTTCTTGTTTTGAAATGAGTGGGTGACCGAGACTGCCTATGGGAGAAGGCAGTGCGGTTCCTGGGTGATAATGCCACTGTCCTGAAACCATGGGCAGTGCTGCCTGTGGTGCCTGTGTTAACTGGGCACTGATCACTGGCATACGTTTAGTGAATGCTGTGGGGAAGTAAAGAGGGCAAGGTTTGTGGTTTCTGTTCTGAAGTCACCAAGTTTAGTGAAGGGAGGTAAGATACAAACCAAAAACAAAAACTGTTCTTTCGTTAGCCATCATCTCTCCTCAACTTTAGGATCATTTGTGAGTTCTGTTCCTTGTGGCTCAGCCATTAGTGAGTGGATGAGCATGTGGGCCACCTATTGCTCATGCAGTGTCTGGAAGGACAGGAGGGCAACCCCAAGTTGACTCTGAAGCCCATCAAGAGATGGAAGCTTCCCTAGAATCAAGAAGTTATGTCCTGGGTGAGACCAGCATCCCCCACCATCAGTGCTCACATTCCCTGCCATCCTGCAGGAGTGTATGTTTATTACGCGGTGTGCTTTGTAGCTCCCAATGAATCCCTGTTGCTGGTATTTGATAATTAGGCTTAGGAAGGAACTTCCTGAGTTAAAAAAAAAACAAAAACGGGGTCTCTCAGGATGCTTAACTCACCCAATACATTTGAATTCCTAGTGTGACCCCTCCTATACCTGCATTGAAGATTTATCCGACCAAAATTACTCCACACACACACCATACAGTGGAAAGATAATTGAGCCCATAGTTGGTCTGCTAGCTGACACCTATAACCCTAGACTTGGAAGGCAGAGGAAGGAGGATCACGAGTTTGAGGCCAGCCTGTGCTACATAGTTTAGTATGTAGCTAGGCAAAAGAGCACCCATATACAGAATCCTGAAGCAGATTTTGTCGAATTAGGGTGATGGAATATTAACGCCATCAAACCATAGTAAAAGTATGAGTAGCATGTTCAATGGTCATAGCAAGTTGGGCAGTTGTTTAAGAGAGAGGCAGAGTGACAGAATGTCTCAAGGCAGGGTTATGATAGAAGAAACTGCAGAAAAATCCCGCAGTGCGACTCCTTGCTGAAGGCCTTCTGAATTAACCCCACTCTGCCTGGAGTCCTTGCCTATCTAGTCCGGGGTCGGGTCCTGGTCGTAAGACTCAGAACCACGGGTACACTCGCACCTTCACACATTCCCAGGAATGCCAATGCCTGCTGCTTTGGCGGCTGGAACCGAAACCAGGTCTGCGTGGGTGCAGCTCTCTGCAGTCTGGGGTTGTCAGGCTCAGAGCTGGGAAAAACTACACTTCCCACAAGGCCCTGCGCGCCCTGCTCGCTGCGGTTGCTCACGGCCAATCGGGAGAGGCAACTGTGGCGGGGGCCGAGGAGGGACATTTTAAAAGGGCTGGAGATTGCGGGCGTCAGTGGCCATGGCGGATACAGCGACCACAGCTTCGGCGGCGGCGGCCAGTCCCGCAAACGCCTCCACTGATGCTCCCCCTTTCCAGCTGGGCAAGCCCCGCTTCCAGCAGGTGAGGCCCGGGGTGCGGCTCGCGGGTGAGAGGGAGGCACAGGGGAGGGAGTCGAGACAAGTCTTCTGCAAAGTCACTTCAGCCCGAGGGGTCTCCAACCCGCGGCCACCAGCGCCTACAGCTAGTGCGGGGACCTCGGCTATAGCCGCTCTTTTCCCATTGGTCAACCGGATGGGCGAGGTCTCCCACCGTGGCTTCCTATTGGCGGGTGGCGCAGTCACTCCGCGGATGCCCGCGTCCTGCCACCGCCCCCGTCCGCGTCGCGCGGTGATTGGCCAAGCGGGTCGCGGGTCCCGGGTCCGAGCGACTCTGAAGGGTCGCTCTGGCAAGTGCGCCTTAGGCGCAAAGTTCCCGTCCTGCGCTGTATTGGTAGGTGGTGTGGCTGGGACGCTTCTCAACTTCTCCCCGAGTGAAACTGGCCTTCCTTGTGAGCTGCGGGGCAGTCGCGGGGCAAAACTCCCTGGTCACGCCCCACGGTCACGCTCCGGTTCCTCGACCTCCAGCAGGGTGCTACGTGCACCCCAGGATGGGACCACATGCATGGGTGCGGCGACCCGATCTCTATCCCTGGGCCGGGGCTTCAGTGACGAGACCTGCCGGCCTGCTAGCGGTCTCTGCGGGGATGCGGCTGGGACACGGGAGAGAGCCGGGTGCGGGGAAACGCTGTGTCATCCTCCGGAGCCTCCGCGCTCCTCCCGAGGGTCCCAAGCGCACCCTAGTCTCGCATTCGATGCTCCCTGGCGCGGCGCAGCGCAGCGCAGCGCTGGCCCCCATCCACACTCTCTTGGTCTCTTCGGGGTGCACCGTAACTGTGGTTAGCCTAGCCCTCGGACACAAACCCACGAACCCGGCCAGGCATCACTAACTCGGCTATGAAACTGGAGATGTAGGTCTGTGAGCCAGGGGCCTGGGGGCGCGTTCCAACGCCGCAGACCCTCTGCCTCCAGAGCTGAAGTGAGCCTGGGTTTGCCAGGATTAGGGGTAGCAGATATGCTAGAGAGAACTTTGAAGGAAGAAAGGAAATGCCACAAAGGTGGGATGCAGTGGCTTTTTTAGAGGGGGGCGGGCGCGGAGGTGAGATTGGGTCTAAATTCAGCCCCCAGCTTCACCGAGATGAGCTTTCTGAGAATATGTCCCTAGAGTTTTTAAATGGAACTTGATTTCTTTTAAAAATAGACAGTCTCAGCATGGAGGAATCTGAAGAGGCTTAATGTCCCCGCTAGTGTAAAATGCCACCTATGGCGACGCGGTTAGGGGTGCCTGTGCCTGGCTTTAAGTGACTCTCCATTTGTCTCCACCTCCACCCCTCATTCTGCTTATCCTTCAGCCAGGCGACACCCCCCCCCCACCGGGAAACATTTCTGTCTTTGGAACCACCACCCTGAGGTCCTATCAGGCCGCCAAACTCCCCCCTGCACCCCCAGTGGGATCCTCGCAGCTTACTTTTCAGTAGTATTCCCTGTGACTCTTCAACTTCGAGAAAAGGGCTTTAGGCAGTTAGACTTTAATAACATGTCCTGAGTAAGTGTTTCTTTCCCTGGTGTCTGGTATTTGAGTGGCACTTGGGACATCCGTTTACCCAACAGACATTTACTGGGTCATCTTTTATTGGCTCTCTGCGCTGGTCTATTTGCTCTGATCATTGGTGGAGTGTGTTTGAGGAGGTTTAGTTCCTGCAGCTGTCCATGTCCGGTTACCTCTAGCAGTGAAGTAACCTCTGCTGAAGCCCCCACTGCTGACAGCATCATAGCCTGATAAGAAAGGGTGCTCAGTAGATCTGATTCACCCATGCTGAAAACTTTTCTTTCCTCCACACCTACCCTAGCCTCTGCAAACCGTTCAGCCTACACCCATGTTCTAGGGTCATAAACCTAGACTCTCCTCTGTATTTCATACCCCTGTCAGTGAGTCAGAGCTGTGATCGCTTCTCCCCAACAAGTCTCCTAGCTGCCCTATCCAAGGCTAAGCCAGACCCCGCCATGTATTTCTTGAGCCAATATGGGAGCCTCCGACAGGGCTTCCAGTCCTGCTCTGGCCCTCTTCCAGTCTTTCCCTTTTCTCTAAGGCAGAGTCCCAGCAATGCGGTCTGATCAGGTGATTCCCACACACGCAGCATCCTTAAACGCCCTGCAGTGTTTTCCTCTATTTTTGAGATACAAACTTCGTATCTGAAGGGACCTCAAGTGCCATGGACCGGCTCAGGGGAGCCACTCAGACCGTAGGAAAACAGGGCGAAGGCTCAGAAGATTCCAGGAATCCAGCGAGGAATTGACAGTCAGACACCCTCAATGTGATTGAAAATGCTGCTGTAATTTTACTTTTTTCAGCGTAAGATTCACAATCAAAAACAAAGCTTGGCAAAGACATACATCATTAGATCATAAAAAGAAAGAACAGCATAAAACAGTTTACAAAGATAATCTTTGAAAATGCTTTGACTTAGGTACAAGGACTTTTGCTCCATGCTTTGACTTGGGTACAAGGACTTTTGCTCAGTTTATACCAGGCGGCTGGCTGGGCTAAGTGACCTTGTGCTCAGAATATCTTGGGGTGTGAGAGGAGAAGGCCACTATCTTCCTGGGAAAACTTTCTGCTAGGAAATTTTAAAGACATGATCTCAAACTTGTCTGAAACTGGTCTCATACCATTAATCTCAACTCTCTTCCCTCCCCGACTCTCAGGGTCAGATGTTGTAATTAGCCTAGGTTTATTCTGGCCATAAGGAAGGCTGCATAGGCCTCCTGTTAAACTGCACGCATTTCTCAGGCAAACATCTAGTGTTGCTGCAGCTGTTTTCCTGCAGAAGGCTTCTAAGGTTTCTTCTGATAAGAGCAACTCCTTTTGCTCCACATCATTAAGGAATTATTTTAACGATGACCTCCCAATTTCCAGAACTAGCTATTTCCTTAAAGGCTTTAATGAATAGTGGGGCAGAGCTCAAAAACATCCTCAGCAGTCTTGTTTGTATCCGCAACTGCCTGGAATAGTCTGATCTGTTAGCAATATGCAAGGATCACAAAGAACACAAAGACAAGGGAAAAGACAGACATATGGCGCCAAGGACAGCCAGGTCGAGTCAGTGCAGGTAGCAACTTCAGGTGGCATCATGACCACAGCTGATTGCCAAGGGACCGCTTGGAACATAGCTCCGTGAAGCGCAAATCCCAATCCTACGGCAACAGTCCGTCCAGTCAGCATTTCTGCTACACTGGCGTGACAGCCGTGGATGTAGCACTCAAGTTCTGTAATGCCCACTCCTTGACGTGTGACTCCTTACTTGCACCCTTCTTTCCACCATACTGGTTGGTTTTCAGCCCTCAGACCTATCCTGTTCCCTCTCATGCCTGGGCATCCACCGAAACATCTCTCAACTCTTTTCCGCTCCTCCTCATCCTTATAGTATCTGCAAAGAATCATTTCCTTGAAAGAGCCTCATGCCCCTGCCTTCTTTATTACCA